CCCCAAAACCCCAAAACCCCAAAACCCCAAAACCCCAAAACCCCTTATCCCGATTTCTCTATTGAAAATCCCAAAACCCAACTTCAAAATGTACTATTAAACGTTTTATTCAGCTCAGAATTGTCTCAAGTTGATTCCGTGTTCCTCTTCAATCTTGAAGAAGTCCTCTGCTGAGAATAGACCATTTGCTTTCTTCACAAGTCTCTTATGTGTCTCGATGTACTTTTCTAAGTTTTTCCTAAATTCGCCTATAGAGTTTGTTAATGGGTGGAATTAAAATGGAGGTCAGAAGGTGGATTAGCTTACCTAAACCCTTCTCGAAGGTAACCATGATGTTCTTCTCAGAGTACACATCGTGCCATTTCTGGATGAAGTCCATGCTTCTAACTTCGCTGATCTTATGGTCAAGGTCTTCTCCATAGCTTGGCAATAAGTTTTCAGGGATTTGGAGTTCGCCGAAATTTTTATTCTCAAGGATTGTCACAAGTTCCTCAAATTTCGCAGCATTTTCACCAAGTTTGTCTCTAGCGACGTCAAGAGTAGCTCTGAGATTAGCACAGACTTGTTTGTAATGCAGATCTTCATAGTCGGTGTAGGTTGTACCGTAGACTTGCACGAAGGTAATCAAGATAGGTAATATTTTCTGCTCAAATGCTTCACCTTTAATAATTAGCTCATTGATCTGAGAAGTTAATCTAATGAGTGAGACTCTTCCTCCATCTCTCAGGAAGTTAATCTTATTCAAGTCTTGGATTTCACTGAATCTCTTCATAATTTTTCTGACCGCTCCAGTATAGTCTTGGTAAACTAAATCTGAAAATACTTCGCAGCAGATAATGGCTGTGATCAAGTTATCCTTATAATTCCCTGTAATTTCTGAAACTTTGACAATTCCTTCGTCAGTCAAAGAGAAAATGGTAGGATAATTATCTCCTCCTGATGTGATGATTTCAGCCAATTTGTTTCTCAACTTATCATCAGAAGGTAAGTTAATCATGTCTTCATCAGTACCCAAAGCTTCTTTATAGCATTGGTTGAAGAGGAACCATTTTCCAAGATGCCAAAAGTCATTCTGGACCTTAGTTTTCTGGTCAAAGCTCAGCACGATAGATGCGTAATTGTATTTATTATAAGTGCTGTGCTCCTCTTTGAACTGCTGAACTGTCTTGATTCTCTTTTCATACAGATCTTTAACCTTTTTAGCCTTCTCTGCTACCTTGCTGTCTTCAATTTCAGCTTTTAACTTGAGATCTTCTTCAAATATAGTGGCTCACATATCATCCGAGACTAGCTTGTTATAGTAATCTAAAATTTAGTGTTGTAGTCTTACCATCAGACTGTGGGACGTATGTGTTGAATGTGCTTTGAGATAATTTGGCATGAATATCTCTGTGAACATAGACGAGAGTGTATGCGTTCATTACTCCATTTCCTCCTTTGCTACATCTCTCAACTTCTTCATTATTGACTTCTTCCACTCTGTAGTCATTTAACTTCAGGTAAGAATTATCTTTGAAGTTTTTCACGAAAGTGTAATAGTGGCCACTTTCAGTAGTCCCTTCGTGAATCATCAGTGAGTGAAGATAATAAGGCTCATTGTCAATATGCTGATATGATTTGACAATCTCATCCTGAAGGTCTTTCAGTTGCTCTTCCATTCTCTCAATTTTCCTAAAAGTACTATCTCTGGCTACCATGAGATAATTTACGATCTCATTAATCTTTTCGTTTGTCAGACCACTCTCTTCCGTGTTAAAGATATGCTCTGGCATAAAGACTTCAACGTTTTCATGAGGGTTTTCAATTTGGATATCTTCATTAGCAGATTTCACTAGATCTGAGGTGAGTTGGAGCAGACTAGCAACACCAATTCCTTTGTTCTTATGGTTATTGAATTTCTCAAGGTGGTCTTGGATGGTATGAACTTTATTTCTGAGCTCTTCGACCTTGTTTCTAACTTTATTGGCTTCCTCAAAGTTGCGCTCATAGTATCTGTCTGGATAAATAACTTCATCAAAATCAAATCTATCATTGTTCTTGGTGGGTATACCCTTATCATCAAACCCAGCCCTAAGGATATTGAACATGAGGAATTTAGGAAGTTCACTAATGGTCACAATCTTGGTAGCATCTGTAGGCTCTTGTCCTTCATCAGGCTTGTAGCCAGAAATATTATCAGTAGTGTCATCATCCCAAGCTGAGTATAGGTCCTTGTTCTTTGGCAAGAGGTTTACAGATATGAACTCTTCAGCAGCTCTGGTACTTGTGTTTTCATTATTTTCGCCATAAATCATCACAGATTTTTGTTTCCCGCAGAAAAGTTCTCTTAACTTTTTCTCAGCGATTTCTATTGGAGAGTTTGGATTGTCCACCTCCATATCTATGTTTGAGTTAGAGTAGGTCTAATTTTCAGAGCTTACCTTGCTCATTTTCTGGCTCCATCTCTTCGTCTCCACCAAGGACAGATTCATTCTTTTTCATCTCTAAATCTGGAGGAGCAGCATCTTTGGATTCCTCTTTAGACTCTTCTTTACTCTCTACATCGGTATCTGGATCAGCTTTTGGTACTTCGAAGGACTCAAAGAGATCTTTATGAAAGTATAAGTAAAACTCAGAGAGATCCATCTGTTCGCCCTTGGTTTGTAAGGCAGTCTTGTTGTTCTCCCAGATAACATTATAGCACTCTCTGGCATCCTGATAAGTCTTTTCAGATTTGATCATTTTACCGAAGAGGATTTGGAAATTTTCCAGAAGGCGATACTTGTACTTCCCAGTTGAGGGCATAGCTTTTGATTCCTCCTTCTTGTCTTCCTCTTTCTTGGAATCTTCAAAGTTTTCTGGCTTCTTTCTCTCCTCTTGATGGTCGAACTGCATTACGATTTCTACAAATTCAGGGATATGGAAAAGGGCCTGAACGAGCGAATTGAAATAGCAAGCATTCCCGAAGTTAACAAGACCAGGAGGCTTGCCGCCCTCTCTTAATCTCTGGTCTATTGGGAGAGGCTCATTGTGCATCATATTGCTTTCCCCTTGATTTAGACTCTCCATCAGTGCTTTTTGGAGTTGTGCATCTTGGTCACCAGGAGTGATCCCCATCTCTATCAAACTAGTTAATACATGAAAATAAGACTGAGGAGGAATCTTAAATTAAAGAAATATTCTGGATTACCATGCTGCTGGTGTGTCTTTAAACTCTCCATCTGAGCTTTCTGGAGTTGTGCATCTTCCGAAGTCATTGGTCCTTGAGTAGCCCCGCTTTGGCCTACTATGCTTCTATCCATGACTGCCTGTACAGTACGTTCAAGATTCTTATCTCATTGGTAGTAATACTGAAGAGCCTCCTCTTGTGTGCATTGTGTAATACCCACTATCTGTTTAATATCCTGAGTTAGTTTGTCTTGAGACATTATAAATTTAAATTATTTAAAAATCAACTAAATTTGTTACTTCAATTGTACAGCCCACATAAGGGGTTTTGGGGTTTTGGGGTTTTGGGGTTTTGGGGTTTTGGGGTTTTGGGG